GAGAAAAGATGAGGGAGAAGGACTAAGGAGCAGAGACAGAAAGGTACAGGGAAAAAAGGACAGAGAAAAAGGAGAGGAAGAAGGAAGGAAAGCTAAAGATGGGGACATGGAGAGAGAAAAAGTAGGTAGGACAGACAACATGGGAGAGGGATTGAGTAATAGAGAGATCCAGACTGGAACAGAGAGATGGAGAAGGTAAAAACAGCGATGGCCTGGAGGACATTGAGAGAGGACACTGGACAGAAAGTGAGAAGGGAAAAAAGGGATGGAAAGCTGAACGTAAGGATGAAAGAAAAACAGGAACAAAACTCAGTATTTATTACACAGTGGCTAATTAAAATGTAAATAATCTACCAGTTTGAACAGAACTGCTCACCATAGTGGCTTAGCCAGTTATCTCATCTAAGTTAGCATCAATCTCTTGGCAGGGTACGCAGGACTGTAAAACCCATCATAAAACATGGTGGGAGAAACATGCTTACAGGAGTAAGCTAAATACATTCTGTGGACAAATCTTGTCTTAATCCTAGCTTATACAGTCAATTAATACTCTGATCTCTGAATTTCATTTCCACAAATTGCACATTTATCCATGCTTCTCCATTTAAAAAAAAATATTGCGTTATCTCAGTGTTAGACATATGGTCATTTGAAGATGCTGTGAACATAAGGAGAGACTTCTCTTTTGCAGGTTCTTTGAAAATCCTATATTGAGCTTGAAATTGAGTGAGAAGAGTGTAAGAAAACAAAGAATTTTTACTGCAGATTACTTCAGCGGGCACAGCATGATAAGGTATGCATAGGTACCCAGAACACAGAATTTCTCTTGAATCTGGTCCATGATGGAGAGAAAACCTCAACTGTTTTGGTTGCCTGGCTTTTTCAAATCAACAGTGAACCTAAGTTCAGTCCCATATCTGTGCCATGAAGAGGGGAAAGACATTTCTACATTATGTCTAATAGGTTCATCTTCTATGCAAGTATTTTCCCTGCTGTGTTTCTTGGGTATTGTAAAGTATTTTCATTGCTCACGAATAAATTCATTTGTAGAGGTTTTTACTGTTACTGACTTAAGTTATTTTTCGTTTCAAAGAAAACCAAGAAAACACCATACATGAGGTAACTCTATTTTAATAGTCTCTGATTTTCAAATATTTGGAAGGAAAAATAATGGGGTAAGTGCAGGAGTATGCAGCCACTGCCAACAGAAGCAGCATTAGTAAGCTTCTCAATATTGCGTTTTGGTATTTCATGGGGAAAAATGAGCCTAAGATTTCTCATCTGTAAGTTCTTGGAGGCTGGGGGGAGGAAGAACCTGATGCTCTTAGTAAGTTGCCTGAGAATCACAGCTTACAGTTACTCAATGTCTTCTGGTCTCACAGGATGAGGCAGAGGTATAATGGATTTCTTCTCTGTATCTCTGGAAAGAGCTTTTCTCATATCTGGCAAAAGAAAAAAAAAAGTTGTTATAAAAGACAGTCATTGCACAAAGCCATATTAAGTGAATTCTGTATTATAATAAGATCATTTTTAATCAAGATGATTTCATAGAATATCTCAACTTGGAAGGGACCCATAAGGATCATCGAGTCGAAATCCCTGCTCCTCGCAGGACTACCTAAAACTAAGCCATATGACCGAGAGCATCGTCTGGATGCTCCTTGAACTCTGAGAGGCTTGGTGCCGTGACCGCTGCCCTGGGGAGCCTGTTCCGGTGACCCACCACCCTCTCAGTGAAGAACCTTTTCCTAATGTCCGGTCTGAACTTGCCCTGATGCAGCTTCACTCCATTTCTTCCGTGTCCTATTGCTGGTCACCAGAGAGAGGAGATCAGCGCCTCCCCCTCCGCTGCCCCCCTTGAGGAAGCTGTAGACTGCGATGAGGTCACCCCTCAGCCTTCTCTTCTCCAAGCTGAACAAACCAAGTGACCTCAGCTGCTCCTCCTAAGTCTTGCCCTCAAGACCTTTTACCACCTTGGTCACCCTCCTCTGGACACACTCTAATAGTCTGATGTCCTTAATGCCACTCAGCAGCAATGTTACCAATTGGAATATAACACTGCATGAAACTGAACTGAATGGAAAAGACATGGCAGGCTAAAAGGACAAATACACAGTTTAAGACATCTGCAACAATGGTAGATGTCTGTCCGCAGCTCCTGTATTTCATAGTACTCCTGCCTATCAAATGAATAGTTCAAGAATAGAAAAGATAAACAGCATAGCCATGTAACCCTTTGGGGAGGATACTTAAAGAAGGTCTAGAAAGAGGAAGCAGCTGGTACTTCAGTTAACATTAACACACTTGAATTTCCATGTTCCTTCCCTTTTAAATTAAAAAGGCCACCCAATTCTCTGCTACTGTTGACCATTGACACTTGTAAATTTATAGTCAGTCACTGGAGAAAACCAAAGTTTCACGTCCCTGCTATGGGAGGAAACGAGGAAAGCGCTGCAATTCCTTCCCCCAAAACATTAGCAAAAAGCCCAGCCACTGGGTGTGAGCGTTGCTCGGAAAGAAAAATGAGATAAGAAACTGCATTTTTATTTTCACCTTATTTACAGGATAAATGTCTTTGTACTTACTAATTTATTCTTGTTTCATAGTTTATTTTGCCACAGATGCTACAAAACGTGTAAACTGGAAGATTAAGTTTTGTAACTGATGTAATCTTCAGTAGGAAAAGCTATCTAAAGGAGTATACAAAAATCCCATTCATCAACAATTATCTGAACTTGTTTCATATTAAAAAAAACCCAACATACAAACAAACACAGGAACCCTTAACATGAGAATCTTTCCATTCAATGTGAGACAGAACAAGTACTTACCATAAGCGTCTTCATCTGGTTCTCCATTGCTAGCTGAGTAGTACTCTAATACTGTCCGGTACACACTGTAGCCTAGTTGCTTATACATATTTACCGCAACCTGATTTGATACTCTCACAAAGAGATCGACGAAAAATCCACCCTTTCTTTGAAAAAATAAAACCCAAAAAAACACAGTAAGGAATAGCAGGTAAATGTATTTCTAAATAACAACCCATAACTTGTAGTCAGACCAAAAGCAGGTCTGATGATGTGGTATGTTAAACATCTTTCATGCTGTAGTAACAGATGCGCTCCTTTACCAAGGGACAGATTCAGTACAGGCGCAAATTTCATTTTATTTTTGTCACATGACCATTCTTTTACACCCACCAGTGGGTTCAGAATTATGAACAGAAAGAACAGGACAAGCTAAACACCCACACAAGCCTCATATCAATAAGAAGTTATTAAAAAAAAAAAAAAATCCACATTTTAGATTGCATTGGCTTAGGGACTGCCTCTTTCAAAGTGCATGGTGGGGGCAAGTGGTGGAATCAGTCACAACATTCAGTTGCCTAACAGGAGACAGCCCTTCTCCTCACAAGGCAAATTTTTCCAAACATCATGCTATTTTCTCATTTTACCAACTACAATGGGGTAGCCCTATCAGCCTGAGTTGAGGAGACTTCCCTGAGGGTTCATCTGACACTAAATTAAATTTTCAGCAGGTACAAGCAAGCAAGCACAAGATAGAAAGTAAGCTAAGGTACTGTCAGCCATACAAAATTTGCTCAAGATTGTGCCAGCGGGTATCGCACAAAGCCCTGATTACTGGACAAGTACGCTGGAGGCCCTACAGGGAACAGTGCTGATGTTTCATGAAGCTCTTTTCCTGTCAAGAAAAGGACCCTATACAGTATCTTTGTTGGAATTCAGGCTACTTCCCACACATTCTGGCAAGTCAGCTTTCATAGAAACCCTGAGATCTTAAACCGCCAAGCAACACTGTTAATTCTTGTTCTCTAACTGAGGGAAATTTCAGTGACTTGGCACACTACTTAAAGCAAAATTCTGGGTCTGTTTCATGCAAATCAAGTATCTAAGCCATGGACAGGTGGCTATAGAAAGATTACTTTAAAAGATAAATCTAAAGTATAGTACTCACTTTTCTGAAATTTCTTCCAGTAGTTCCATCAATTTAGCAGCCAAACCCAGACGTCGAAATTCTGGTGCAACAGAGAGAGCAGTAACATGTCCGTGCCATTCCTCCCTAGCCACAGAGCCTTCTGCTTTACCCATGACTGTGAACACACAGAGCATCAGAGCAGTAGCACCTTTGCAATAATGCACCACCCACAGCTATACATCTTCACAAAAGAACCAAGCACTGTATAAACAAACATTGCAATGATTGTGGTAAAGGCTCAAACAGGGATGTCTATGTTATCGCTCCGTGACTCAGCAACCACTAAAAATGTCATTTTGCTCAAGTGTTAGAGTAGTTTCTTGACTAGTGTAAAAAATTTTTTTTTTGCAAATTAATTGTTTGAGGCATGACTTCCAAATGCAAATTCTAAGCAATCCTCATGAGTCTTTAACTGAGCAGAATTCAGGATCTGACTAAAATAGCAGAGGAATGGAGGGTTAGAAGCCCAAAACTAACTCACTGTCCTGGCAGCTACCGGAGGCTTTTGGTGACTATGGGGGAAGAGAGCTCAGGAAGCTTTGCCAATCTGGCAATAGAAAGCTAAGGCCCTGCAAACACGGTATGTTTAAGAAATTTAAAAAAAAAAAAAAGGGGGGGGAGGATGTTGTTTTGGAAGGCTTCTTTGTAGTTCCTTTCTTTTCTACACAGAGCCAAACCAGTGCTAGTTCACTAATGGATACTCCCACTTCCACACGGCATTCTTAGAGGCATCAGTCACTGCTGACAAGCAACTGATGTGGCGAGTACAGAGAAACCTTCTGTACAGCAAGCACTTTAAGTTTTACTATGTTAAATACGGTATTTCCCAGGCTACTGCAAAGACCCTTATTCTGCCTCCCTCCCCGCCCCCCGGGAAAAGAACCATGGAAGGAATAAACAAAGCAACAGTTCCATTTGGAATGATTTCTGAAAAACAGGAATGTTCCACAGCAAACAAGCAGCTGACATCCAGACACAGAGCACTCCTTACAGGACAACGCGAAACCCCAGCCCAGCGCTTTCGCCCAGTGATGCCTGCCGGGGTGTGAGATCAGAGCCGAGCGCGGGTCACGCGAACGCCAGCACACGTACATCCGCCCACGTAACACCGACGTAACACGGACGTCGGCACCGCCGCGTCCCTGCCACGCTAGGAACATCAAACCGAAAACTGCTGCTGTGTCCTGCGTGACACCCTCAGGCATTTATGAAACGGGAAGATGACGCATAACGTTTCCCCTCCCTGTTGGGTATCTGGAAAACGGGAAGAGTAAGAAAATCTCCGGTGCCGCCACCCCCCAAAGC